CGGAATTTTTTGAACTTTCTGAACTTTTGGAATTCTTTTGAAATAAAATTTTGGTGCCTCTCTGTGTTATACAATATTTAGGTGCTGATGAGGCTCCGGGACAGCACAATATTAAGAGACATTCTCAAACCATTGGCCTTCGCGGGGCTGCTCGGCGAAAATAGAGCTGGGTTTTGTAATCCACGCGTGAGCTTCTTTAACATGCAGAAAACGGTTCTGAAAGGGCGTTCCATACACTGAAAGACCTCCTTTGTAAGAGTACTGCTGATCTTATCAACTGATATCGATTAGAACAATGCTACTGGTTCTAGGTCTGCATGGTACTTGCGTTATGCTCTATTGGCATCACGCTGATGTGGCTGTTTCCTACCGCTCAACTCACCAATCGACAGTTCCACGTGTGGCTTCATAGGAATCAGTACTTCAGCAATTTCACCGTCGTGGATCAATTGGAGGCCTACTGCAGGTACAGTCGAAATCCCGGATGGCATCAAAAGAAGGCTGATGTGCGGACTGCAGCAGCACACCTAAACTAGGTCACCGCATAAACGCTCCGCCGCAGTCCTTTGTTCTCTCCCTCTTGACCAGTAACCGTCAGCATAGTAATATTTTTGGGCGTGGTGTAATAACTAGTGAAGCTGTTTAATACGCGCACGATTTTAAGATCAGGTCTTGAATCGTACTCTGTCCGAAGCCTTCCACTCCCTCCGGGTTCGAATAATTGGTGACAGACCTAAACGGGAGAATAAAGTATGGTTGCATGGCCCTTTGCCGCTTTCTAAATGTCACTGTGATTTCCGGTGAAAGTAGAAATCGTGACGCCCCCGAAACGGAACTGATCATGCCGACTTCTTTGTCTTTGTTTCTGTATAGCGTTATTGACAACTCGTTTTGTTGTTAGAGCAGATAGAGCAGGTGAGCACTGAGCTGCTTGTGCATGCATCATTTTTTCCTGGCAATGGTCTGGTTCTCTTGAAGTAGAAGAGTAGAGTGATTGGCAATTAAGGGACTCAGTAAGTAATTAAGGGACTGGGTTTCCCTAATGGTATTGTATTCGCCTTTGAATGCGTACTTGACCCATACAGTGGTGGCGTTCGATCAATTTGCAGAGCGTGCTGTCGTACCATGAGCAAGTTCATTTCTTCAGTCGACCAGTAGTGAGAGTGTTGGTTGTTCGGGGTGGATTTGAATCCAAAATTTGGTCTATGAACCATACGTTTGGAAAGGGCGACATTATCGCTGTCGTAGATTCGTTTACAGATTAGCATCCTTCTCCGTCCTCACAATATTCTACTACTCTGGAAACTTTTCATTTCAATGCTTATTTCAATTTTGACGATACCTTATAAATTTTCTTGTCTTGGTAATTAATTTTGCAGGCTCACTGAACTTATGAACTCTGTTTCGGTCTCCCTTTCTCTTGTCTCCTTTCGCGTGGAATCACTGTATTGAAAGCAGAAATCTTTGAGCCTTCAGAATTTATTATTTCTTCCTAGACTGCGCCACAAGCGCGTTCTATCATTAACAATCGTAGTAGAATTCAAATACGATTTCGACCTGTACATTGAATGGTGGAGGCTGACCAGTTATCGGACAGTTATGGCTCTCACTGGGTAACGCTGAAGAGACAGGAAGCTATTGTAGGTTGACCTGAATAATTCGGTCCGGTGATTTACTCTGACCGGATGCTAGGTAGCTGACTTCCTCTGCCTAAGCACCACCTGAGCCCCTTGATGTCGTGAAACTGAATAAAATCACAAGTTTATTCACCATTTATCCAAGTGGTAAAATGAAGTCAATTTACTGAAAATCGGCCTTTCAGTAACTTGTCAGCGGTCGACGATCTTCGTATTTTTTTCACCGTAACCGCGGCTTTTGCAGTCGCCTTGATTCTGATGCAAACCCGTCGATCCGAGCTGATCTCTAGATACGACTTTATCTGGAAACTCCAGGTAGGAATTCTTCCTTAATCCACTAATATGTTATTAGGTTGCCCTAAAAGTTCGTGCGTATTTTTTGGATCTCATGCCACAAGCTCCTTCAACAAATTCTAAATATGTTCACGTAGGCTGTAGATAGGGCACACGTGTAGTAACTTATACCCGAATCATGCCCACCATCGTCGCCTTCTTCGAGTTCAAAGTGGAAAGAGAAAAGAGCTATGTTTTTCGCGCTCTGACTCAAGCAGCTCTACTGAGCCACAAACCGATTGAAGCCGGCGACACCTGCATTGCGATACATCTCCTTGTCATTGCCAGTCATGAGGTATCAGAATGGATGGCTCTTCTTCGCTCAGGGCTACAGCCGGTAGAAAAACCCTGTTCAGGGAGGCCATCAGTGTCGGATATGGAGAGCCTGCGCTTTCTCGTGGGAGCTAATCCACACGGGGTAACCTGCTATGTGGCCGCTACATCCTGCTGTTTCAGATGCACAGTTCGTAGAGGTTCTCGCTCCTTCGTAGAAAGGGTTGAAGTTTTGCCAAAGATTCCCATGAATTGACCACCGATGACAGGAGTGCGACACGAGTCCGTCTATAATTTGTTTCCTACTCCACCCGTACGCCCTGGTTGAACAAAGCCACTACTGCAGTTGAGAAGCTCAGGTTTCATGACAACCACACCTAGAATCCCCAGGGACTAGATCGAACAGAAGAGGGTGAAAAGTGAAGAAATTCACCACAAGGTCGTGCTCCACCTCTTTTGGAGCGTTCTCGAGTAAACCACTAGAGACATGTCAATCATTATAGCTATGAATTCACTCAAGTGTAGGGAGATCAACGGCAGAGACTCACGGTGAAACCCCAACAACTAAAACTCGAAAAAGTGTGTACGCTCCACGACACCGAGACCACATGTTTCGAAAATGAAGTGATTCTAAATATCGAAGCGTCACTTGGAATGGGAATACATGAGAGTGGAGGTCGACGACCAGCAACTACGCCAGCTTCGATTTGTTGGCGATATCTATCTCACAACCAGGGTCAATCGTCCGTTCGAACTGTTCGAACGAAGGAGGTCGCATTTTGATCGGAAGGGGGTCGCAATTTCGAGGAC